GTGGTTTAGCACTTGCCACCACAAAACAAATGAGATACAGCTTTGTTCTACAGACAGTTTTACATTTACATACCAACAAGTGACTCCTGGGTTATGATTCCTGCCTGAAGTCCTGTCAAACGTATCTTAATTTGTTAACAGTTTTGCTCCACTAGGCTGACTCTGCTAAAAGGCTATAAAAAGTAATAGTCCATTTGTGAGTTTACTGCTATTAGCTACGAGTGTTAATTCATGCACAAAGACCTATACAGCTGCATACCTGCAGTCAGTAACAGAGGAGAGAGGGTTACACACTGGGGGAGGAAATTATTCCTGTTGTAGATTTGGTGCATATTCATCTGCAAACAGTCACCCCTCCTGCCTCAAGAAAGGAGTGATAACTTCTTGGTTTTAATCACATGCTGCCAGTTCTAATTGCTTTACAAACAACATCAAGGGGAGGGTAATTGGAACCTTCAGCTTCTCCATCATAATAGCGTGGCTACTCCAGAAAGGAAAACAAATCTTCGCCCATTCCAAAAGCTAAAATAAAGCAAGCGATGGAAAGGGAGACTTATAAATTCTGTGCAAGGTAACACCCACATGTTAATGTTAATTTAAAAAGTAAGAATAAGGGTGTTCCTGGTGAACAACTTGCCAGGGGATGCACAGACAAAAATGTTGCATTTGGAAAAGCACAGCCTCAAGCCTGCACCTGCTTTCACACACGTGCAAGGGAAGATTAGCTCGTTGTCACCTTTCACTGCCATGCTTGCCAAAGCTTTTCCTTTTCCCAGGACATACAGAGAGGACAACGGAGCCTGGCAGGTGCTGGGCAATAAACTTTTCTGCAGAAGTGCCCATTGCTTCCCCAAGCATTGACACTGCAGGCACTGCTCTCCTGCCTAGGCACTGCCTGCCAGCCCTGGGCAGAGCCCAGGCAGGGCCACCACAGCACCTCTGCAGCAGGTCTGCAGCAGCAGCAGGTCTTTCTGCAATAACCCCAGCAGGGTGACATCACCAAGCACTACTTCTCTCAAGTTAAGCCCCTAAATTAACGTGAAATACTAGGGATTTTTTTTTTTTTTTTTTTTTTTTTTTTTTTTTTTTTTTTTTTTTTTGTCAGCAAGAACAAAATCCTGCAGAAGTCAAATCCATCAAGGATACCAGTTGAACTCAGTGGCCCCTATCCTGTAGGGCAAAGAGCTGTAATTTCTTAAGATGGTTCCTAATTCTATGCCTTTTCAGGAGATCACAGAATGAGCAAAGTCTGACAACTGAGTGTCCCATTGCTTCAGCAAAATAATTGTTCAAATGCATTGCAAAACTACATCAAGGAAAAGCCCCAAGCCAGCAAAGTGCTGTGTGTGCACCCAGCCTGACTGGTATCTGTAAGCTGTGTTTCTCAAGAAGCATTTTCTGGGTACCCCTACATCAGCACTGTAACACCAAGACATTTTGCCTAACTTTACATAGGAAAAATAAATGTGGCTGTGAAGATAAGATAGAATAAGAAAACAAAAGAACTTATCATTGTTAAAACAAGATTCAAGTGAGACCACATGGAATGAGACAACAGGGAAGCTGAACAAAGGAAAATATTAGAAAAATGCAGGTTGTATTTGGTGGAACAAGATCTTGAAAATCTGAGGATGTTTGCAAAGCAGTTCTAGTTCCTGTGGATACCAAGTACTAAAAACCTGCCAGAATTTGTTATCCTGAGTTAAAAAAAAAAAAAAAAAAAAAAAAAAAAAAAAAAAAAAAAAAAAAAAAAAAAAAAAAAAAAAAAAAAAAAGTAACAATGGCTTTAATTATTTGATTTTTAAAACATAGCAGCTCCCTGGACAAAGGTCTCCAGGAGAAGAGAAAAACAGGTTGTGACTATGGGTGCCAAGAAAACATTAAAAAAGCAATCTGCATGGAAGAATCTCACACTATGTCACAGAGAGCAGAATGCTCACAGGGAGCATTACTTTGATTTCTATATTATATAGAAGCAGGAGACATTGAACCCCCTTTTACCCAATATCTTTATAGCGAAATAGAGAAATGTTTATAAGCCCAGGGAAATTATTCTCACCTTACTCTATGAAAAGGGAAAAACCAGGACTAATTCTATGACAAGTGTTTCAGTGGCACATAGACACCTATTTTCTGTGCACTCAAGCCTTTTCTATGGTCATATGCATATAAACATTACAGTGCCTTCTCCAGTTAAATCTGCCCTGACTGAAACTGTCCTGAAAATACTTCATTCAGTGCTTAGACCCTGAAAAACTTTTGCTATGTCCAAACTTCCTACTCATCCCTGAATGAAATTTAAGAGGGTAACATTTAATGATGTTTTCCTTGAATTCAATCTTGTTTGCATTATGTCACAGAAAAAATGCACTGCAGAAAGGTTCTTCATAATTCCATTATGCTATTAGTGATAGTGGGAGAAATTGTGATATTCAAGTATCAACAGAAATGTCTTCATTGGCTTTCAGAAGAGATGGAGAAGGAAAGAGAAAAAGGGACAATCAGCTGATGTGTCAAACATCCATATACAAATGATGATTCAGAGAAGGGTTGTGATGGTACTGAGGCTAATGAGATACTACAGATAATACAAGAGAAACAAAATCAAATTCACTTTATAACCTGAGTATATTAGAGAGCTAATCAAGAGGAAGGAAGAAAACAAATCATTGCTTTTAGAAGTGGAGAGGAGGGGAAAATGCCAGCAGATGACTCAATGCTCCTGAGTCATTCCAGTTCCAACTATCATTGACCTACCTGGGGAAGTTTGAAGAACACTTTTAAAAATGTTTGAAGTCTGCCCTATCTATACTTTCTTGACTCAAAAGGCAAAACCAGGACAAGAGATTGACTTCTAGATCTGCCATTTACAGCCAGGGAAAAAACAGAGGGAGATGGCTGTGCCTGCTGCATTTAGTGTGGCCTCACATCTGCCAATCTTGCTCTGTTGATCAAATTTTTTTAGTATATAAAAAATTGGTTTGCATGTACTGGTCTGTTAATAAGAGAAGATATTTGCTTTTAAGTTTGCATCTCTTTCATCACCCTGCTTTCCCTGGGAAGGAGCTTTCGATGCTTTTACACTTTCCATGCACTACCCCCATAGCCAAAGCTGTGACAGCAGCAAGCACCCAGCATTCAGAACAGTTGAAGGATTTGAAAACATCTATCCAGATTCACACCTGAATACTGGAGATGAAAATGAGCCTGGTGCAGTCAGTTCCCTGTATCTGTTGGAAAAAAACTCAGTACACTGAAAATCTGACCTTTCTGATTGCCTGTCTGTGTCCTGGGCTTCCCTGACATCTTGTTACTAAGTGCTGAAAGTTAGAAACTCTTTTCATGCTTTTCCTTCCCATTTTCACAGAAGAAAAGAAACCATTTTGCAACTTCTGTACAAAGTATCTGATGTTGTTGGGTTACATTAAATACCTGCACTGGGTTTAGGTATTTCCAGGAAAACAATTTGAAAGCTTCTGTAACTGGAACTGAACCATCCTCTATCAAGTTAAAGAGAAATTCACTAATACATAGTAGCCTTGTGTAGACAATGCATTATATTAGCCTGTGTGTCTTGTCATAATATATTCCAAGTGATGTGTGATGATGGCAAATCTGTTATCCATTAAAAAGGTGCTGAAGACCAGCCTGTCGGAAGACATTTTTTCCCCCAGTTTTGCTCCTCATTAGTTTTTGAAGCCTGGAAGTTACAGAACAAAGTTCATGTTAAAGGCTACTACTAATATTATTATACTGCTTTAATGCTGGAGTAATCAAATATGTGAAAACTATATTCCTAATTCCTAGCACCACATTTTTATTCTAAACATTAGAAAAGCACACACATCCTGGAGAGAAAAATGTTTGCAGCTGACTGATATTTATCCAAAAAGTGTGATTTCCTCAAAAGCAGCTTGGTGCAGCTTCCTGCCTGCATGGCTCACACTGCTGGGGCTCTGGTTCAAGACTTGCACACTCTGCAAGTGGACACTAAGGGGTGTAAATTCATCAACTTCTGCTGAACTTTATATTCACACACTGCCGTAAAGTCAGGTCAGAATAAGACTGCACACTTCATAAAAAAGTGCAATTCTATTTTCATGTGTTTAGAAGGGTTGTAGGGCTTTTTTTTTGTTTTAGGGTTTGGGGGTTTTTGTTGTTTGGGGTTTTTTTTTGTGTATGTGGGTTGTTTGGGTTTTTAAAATAAAAACACAAGGAAGCAGAATTAGATTTCTTCCCTAAAAAATTAATAGATCTTACTTTTTTTGTTTCTTGGTTTTTGGTGTTTTTTTTGTTTGGTTGGGTTTTTTTGTTTGTTTGTTTGGTTTTGGGTTGGTTTGGTTTTTTGTTTTGGTTTGGTTTGGTTTGGGTTTTTTTTTAGGAATAATTAATTTCTAATTCGATATCAAACATCTTCCTCTGACTTAACTGAGTCAGGTTCTTCCCACTCCAGCCTTCATATACCAAATGTTTAGAGCTTTCTCTTTACATCAGCTAGCAAGATATTTTGGCCATCTGCCTAGTCCTTCCTCTGGGGTTCAAGATCCATAATAAAAGATTTTGCACATCCATCATTTGGAAAAAATGCCTCCACACATAAGTTTTCCAATCATCTTCACACGTTGCTTCTATGCCTTAACACATCTGATGAAAAATCTATAATATACTTTCATGGGATCTTTTTGGAGAGATAGCTCAGTGCTATAGATCAGAATTTGTGATGATTTAGAACTATTTTCTAAATCGAATGAAGGTTGACAAAGAAATTAGTGTATCTCAGTATAATCCTGTTCTGAATGATGATATTAGGAAGTGTCAGACTGGAGATTAGGAGAAGCAGAAGCTTGTGGAATTCAGAGTTCCCTGGCAAAGTTGCAGTCCCTGGCTGCACTGAGGGCAGGATGGAGACCGCAAATATCTGATAGAGAAGGTTTCTGTCGAGGATTTGGACATTATATTTCTTATGGTATACTCACAATTTATGGCTTTTCTTTATGCAGATAACATTTCTCCCAAAAAACTCCATTTCAGAATGTCTCAACATTCAGCATTATTCAGAGTTCTCCCCACCTGAGAGACTCACCAGGGCTGGTGCTGCTCATGCAGCTGTGTGCAGCTACAACAGTAGGAGTGAGCTCTGTTGGGAACAGAGAAGTGACTCCTGGACCTTTCTCTGCTCCCGTGAGAAAAGCAAGCCTTGGAAGAGACCCTCAGAAAGCTTTCCTGGTAAGATACACCTATCCTTCTTTCCTGAACAGCAGCTATTCTAAAACATCTCATTGTAAGGACAACCCTGGAGAGCACATGGCAGCCTTCCAGTACCAACATGCTTTACTAAAGGTATAAGAACTTTATCAAGTAGTTGGGCTTTTCTGAGCCACTGAATGATTGCTTGCAAATCCCTCCCTATTTTCATTGAGGTTTTTAAAGGGATGTCTTTAAAAGAGGGAAACTCAACAGTAAAAGACCTCTCTGTGGTAGGGCTCCCAGAAAGAAGATTTTGCACTCCTATTCCCCAGTAGTCACCTTCAGCCCTGCTCTTGCCCAGAAAGTGCTGGAGACCTTCGTTCACATCCTGAGCACAAGGAAGTTCCAGGACCATTTTAAAGGGTGGGAGCTGACAGCAGGCACCACCTCCAGATAGGACTGTTTATGCTGAGGGGGGATAAATGGATGGAGATCTCCATTAATTGTAACCAGTGGAGCAAAGCTGGAAGTGTTTGCTTGCACAGAGATAGCAGTGCAGGAGCACAGTGGGAGCTGTGCTGTAGCTGCAGTCGGCTCCTTGCAAGGAAGGTTCCTGCTATTAATACCATGGCTATCACAGCAGATAACGCTGTAAAAAGCAGCAGCTTGCAGGAAGGCTTAGGTTAGAGCAAGCTGAGGAGTATTCTTTGGATTACAGGGTGGGGTAAAGTCTTCAGGGTGTTCTCCTCTCTCTGCAAGCCAAACAGCTGCGGTGCAGCCGGACCATCCTGCCGTGGGTGCTGCAGTGACACCGACAGGCTGCCCTGCCCTGCCCTGGGTGTAAAACAGCAGGAGCCAGGCCTGCCTCAAAACACAGCTACAAAGTAAAGGTCAGGAAATGGGGAAAAAACCCAGTTTGTTGATCACAGTATGCTGGGACAGATCCTGATCCCTCCAGGGAAGGCAGGTGTCCTGTGACCTACCATGAAAGGCAAATGAGCTCCCCTAGAGAAGTGATGGTGACTGGGACCAGTTCCACCCATCCTGGCAGTGCTCACGGTGGCAGACAGATGTTGTTTGTCTCAACCAAGCTTTGAACTCTTGGGAGAAGTGCAGCTCTTCTCTTCATGCACCAGTCTTTCCTGATCTACTTTCAGTTCCTTCCTGCAAAGCTGCCCTGTGCAGCAGGCAAGTCAGGGATGGAGAACTTCCTCCCCTGCTTGAGCCCTTTGGAAATGGCTAATTTACTACAACATAGGAAGAGAAAGGAAGAAGGATAGTGAAACACAGCGCAGCCTGGGCCTCGGGGCCATCTCAGGTTCAGGAGGAAAGGAAAGGACAAAGAGCTCAGGGACCCCCCAGTCTGGCTTTTTGCAGGACCTCAACATATCAAATTGAAACGGGCCTCTTTTTGCCCCTGGCTGTTCCTATAGTTTAAATAGTTTAACCTTTAAAGGTAGCATTCAGGAACCATGGTACTTAAGTGTTAAAGCTTACTTGGAGGGTATTTTTGCAATGGGAAGGAGTTTTACAAGGGCTTTTACCTACCAGACTGGCATTTCATTTCAGCACAGGTCATGTGCAGTGCTGACTCCCTATATAACCTGCCCATGGTCCCTCATCTCACCAAATTCCTCAGTTTGTCCTGAGGAGACCAACAGATTAAGAGAAGATCTGAGGTTTTTTTTCCCAGTGGTGCTGAGTGCCTGATGCTCCTCCTAGTCCTGATAGAAAGGGTGCTCAGCAGTGCTGCAGGAGGCAGCAATTCATCTCTATCTGTGCTGCTCTTTGCCCTGGTCTGAAACATTATTTGAGACACTGGACAAGAAATGAAGAAAAGCCTTTGCCTATCAAAAACCATCAGAACTCTACTCAATTTTGTTGATTCCAGTATCTCTAACCACAGGCTCTGTTCATTCTCAGAGCAGGGGCTGCACAGCCTTTCTTTATTTTAAACTTTCTTCTTGTTCTGCCATTAAGTAAGGCCACATCGATGTGTCACTCTCTCTTTGCTCATGCACTTGCTCATCCAGTCCTCTAATTTCCATTTTTTACCTCCCTGTACTTCTTTCTCATTTCATCTCTGCTATTATTTTCTGTTTCCTTTGTTTGCTCCAATATGTACAGACCTCAGAAAAGGCTCTCTTGACTTAATCAGCCTTCTGCCTCTTCCTTCCTGTTGTTTTCTAAACTTTGCTATTTTTCTACATTGAATTGCTTTTCCATTCCTCCCATGTGGCTTGAAATGTCTCCTTTCCACAACCACTATCAGAGGTAGCAGTGGCCTCCTTACAAGGGGGCCTTTTTCTTCTTTCACTTGAAAATCATGTCCTCCCTGGACACAGGTCAGTGTTCCTTTTTTCCAGACCTCCTCAACTACTCATTTCCCTGTCTGATGCTCAGGCTTCAGTAATTTATCTTCTGTCCTGCCAGTATCCTGGCAGTATCCATGGAATTCTGTCCATTTACTAAGCTCTATTATGCAATTTTTTTCTGCATATTTTACCTACCAACATCTATCTCTGTAGGTGACACCCCAACAAGGGATGAGGAGGAACAAGGAAGGAGCTTGTTTTCTGGACAATTCACCCATTAGAGTCTGTTTGCTGAGCCCATTAAGTGGCTATTTTCTGGTAAGGACACCTCTGCATTAAAAACAACAATCAAGGAGTTTGTTTCATGCTCTGACTGTCATTACAGTTCTAAGGTCTGGGGTTTGCAAGTCACGACCTGCATTCCTTAAATAACATGGATACAGAGAATTTCAGCAACAATCTCCTCAGACAGGGTCGTCACCACAAAACATCCTGCCTTGCATGTGAGGGCAGGCTGGGGAGGCGAACAGCTCTGTGTGACATTACAAAACCAGTTCTCCAGTATGGCACAGCAGCCAGCAGCCTCCCCATGTTCCCACGAGTGTGTATCAGGAAGTGTGTAACTGGGCACACACACTGCACAACCAACCCCACACACCCAATTTCAAGAAAGCCTCCAAGAGCAAACATATTTCAGGTTATAGCTAATTCTTCTCCAGCACTGGAAAAGAACATGTGATATTTCCACTTAACCAGGTATAACAAGTTAAACACACTGCCACCAACACTTCAGCAAAGTGTCTCCTGCTCCACTCATATCCCCACGATTTTACTGCTTATGACTTCTCAAGACAGAGGAAGCCAAAGCAAGAGATTAACTATACTAGAAACCAAAGTAGGAATTATAAAGAGGGGCTTAGTGGCATGTGGGCATAGACTGCAGTCAGGTTCCAAAAACCCACAAGACATTCCCCCATGACATTCCCCCATTAGTAAGGTGGTGGAGCAGAGGCCACATGTCTGCCTCTTTCTCCAGCCAAGAAATGCAGCCTGGACTCACAAGCATATACAGGATACATGCAAATTGCTTCTGGAATAAAAACAAAGATGCACAAAGAAACTTAGTGCAGCCTTAGCCCCAGCCAAGTCCCAGGTTAACCAGCCCCCAGCACTCTCCACATGCCCCTAGACAGCCCTGGAGTTGCCCAGCCTTCAGCAAAGATCAGAGGCTGCCTGAACTGAGCACTCCTGGATGCTCCAGTGCATGAGACACAAGCAAGCCCCACAGCTTTGGCATCCCAAGAAGACACAGCAGCTGCCCAGAAAGGAGAAAAACCTTTAAAATTCATTAACTGCCTGTAGAGTTGCATTAGATCACTACTAACAAGCCTGAATAGGTTTTCAAATCAAAGGTGGTTGATCACATTTTGCCTTGATTTTCCTCTTCCTCTTTTTTTTTTTTTTAATTTTTTAAAGTAGGTTTTTACAAAATTATCTTTCCTAAATTCTTTTTCCCCCTCTTTTTCTCTTGTTGGTTAAATCTGGGCTGAGGTTGATTGCTGTAGGACAGAGGTATGTTAGGAAATTTGATGCAAAGGACAAGAAAACAAAAATCAGAGGTATTTCGTTTGAAAAGAGGCTTTGTCCAAGGCATACTTCTTGTGTGTTTAAGGACAGAGTAATAGATTTGGAAGGATAAGTCATATATCTTAGGATTTTCTTTCCTGCCCCCTTTGATTGATTCATTCCAGTCTCTTCAGATCTTTGCCTGTTCCCACAAACCTGGAATCTCAGGATTGTTTGATTAAGTCATGGTTACCATGACAATAAAAGTGCCTCTGGCCAGTTTGACCTTTGACTGGATTCAATTCACTGGGAGAAATGGACAGAGACTATAGAAAAGCTTCAGCTTCATGTCCACTACTGCATAAAACGGGCTCTCCTGCACTTTGAGAGTGTGAGCTGGCTGCCCTTTTAAAGATATAAATTGGGCCGAAATGCTTTGGAAAGCATTTCTAAGGTTTTGGTAACGAATTTCGTGAGGAATATCACTTTGGATATAAAATGCACACAGTGGTATGGCTAGACTTATTTTAAAGTGAGGCATTTAGGACAACAAAATCAAAAGCTGAAATCAGACTTTGCATGTCTGACCTATACCCACGGAATTTTAAAATCATGTCTTATCCATATCCATCAAATTTTGTATAGGTATTAGCAAATACCTGGCTGTTTTTAAGTATGTACACATGTATAAAAGCAGATTTCAGACTTAGAGCTCATTTCCTCAGATCGTAGCCCACCCTGCCACTGCAGGCATTGTGCTGCTGTTGATCATATAGATAATTATTCCTTTTCAAACACTTTCATTATAAATCCATTTTGGCAAAAATAAGGAGGGGAGGGGGGACAAGAGAGAGATTTCAAAATTAAACCTGTTATGTGATTTTTAAATGGGCCTGACAGAATGACAGCCGAGTGGCTGTTGCAAGGCAATTCATGCATGCAAGATTGCCAGATCCCTGGTGGGAGAGTACGCGGTGCCCGCGCACGTCTGGGGCTCTGCTCTCCCCTCCCTGGCCTGGGCAGGCCCCTTGTTTTACTGCTTCCTCTTTGCAAAGGAGACAAATACATTCTTTGGTCTAGCTCAGAAGAGTAATTAAAGCCAGCTAAAAAGGGGGCTTGCTTCTGGAGCCTCTGGCTCCCCAAAACACAGGTGGCAGGAGGAATCAATGGCTCGAGCCATTTGGGAAGAGTGGGCTTCACTGGGCACACCATGGAGAGAGCAGTGAGCTGCCCTTCCCTGCTGTATGCAGCCAAGGTGAATGTTAGCCAACAAAATGGCATGGAGCCAAGCAGAGGGAAGTAAAATAAACCCAAGCACTGTGAAAATGAGGGGAAGAGAGTATCTGGGCTGGGGCAATAGTTGCACTGACCTTACTTGGGTAACAGACAATGCTCGTTTAAAAGATAGACCCAAGTGGGCAAGCTGGAACTTAGAACCTCTTTTTTTTTTTTGATTTGTTGTTCATTTACTGTCATAAAGTTCTTCCTTCTTCTCACCTAGTTACCTTGAATTCTGAAGCCATGGGAAACAACTGATGGGGATTATTTGAGCCCTCCCACACAGGTTCATGGATGCAGAATCCTCCTGTTTCCATGCTGGCCATCAGGACCTTATCCTGTCAAGTTTCAACAAGTTCAGTAGAGAGCTAACATTGTTACAGGATTTTGGTTCCTAGACCAAGAATTGAAAAAGAGATTTGTCTGAGAGAGAATAGAGAATGGAGGAATTTTTTGTCACCTTTCCCCCCCCTTTCTCTTTTTGGTGAAAGACAACATGGAAAATGTCAAGAAGTGTATACAGGAAAATGATAGATCTTAAGAAATCTGTCCCTACTGGAAAAAATACTTTTGCTTCCAAGAGAAGTCAAAGTAAAATTTTGAAAGGCACTTACCTGACTTTCAAGGACTATAAACTCCTAGAGGTCCTCTGGCTTTGGAAAAATGTGTCTGAATCCTCTGTAGTTCAGAAATAAAACTTTCATTTGGATGAGGATGATTTCCCCTCTGAAGAAGGAGCAGGCACCCACCCCACTGCCTTGTTCACCATCCCTTGCTACAAGATGGGAAAACACTAATAAGCACAGAATATGCCTGATCCATCTTGGCCTTTCCCTCTCCTCATTCTTTTGATGCTGAGTGCTTCCAGTTGTGCCAGTCTGTAAACTCTCAGCAGTATTTTGTATTTTCCTTCAGTCTCTCTCTCCCTCTCTGTAAGATTTCACCAGCCTATTAGTGTTAGAATGTGTTTATTAAATCCAGATATCTATTTATCTATTGCTCTATCTTTATTCAATTCATATACATGTATGTCTGCTGAGGCATGGTCCTGAGTATAATGTTCCATTAGAGTGAAATGTTTACATAAAGGAAACTGAGGAGTTTAGCTATTATAAACCTGGACACTGTCAGTTTACTTACAAGAATGTCACATGCAGCCCGTGGCCAACCTTCAAATGAGACCCTATCACATCTCTTCTTTCATATCTGTGCCTTTATGTCTTCACTTGTGACCCATCACAGACTTATTGTGGATTAGTTCAGATGCAACAAGAATCTTAATATCAGTGAGTAGCATCGTTATTGGAAATACCCTGTGTCTGTGCAGGGTGAGTATCAGACCATTCCTTTTTTCTTTGAGAGGATACCTATTCCCATAAACCCAGAAAATTATCACGCATTCTGTAACATCTGTCTCTCCCTCAGAAATAACTTTGCATACAAGAAATATTTTTTTTTTTACTTATTGAAAAAAAAGGCCTCATGGCAAACCCTCAGTCCCCATCTATGGAAAGTAAGGAAGGATTCGAGAAGGATTAGATTAGCAGAAAGGGCTGTTAGATGAACCAGAGGTACCTACCATATGGAAAGCAATTTGGAAATACCTGCCTTTTCCTACAAGCTGGATTCCCTGCTCTGGGAAAACCCAGTTTATTTTTAGATCCTGTAAATAACAAGATGTTGAGTGACCACCAAAGATAGGCACTGCTCTGTTTCAAACCCTGCCAGCTAGCCATACTCATTTCCAGAGTAACTCCTAGCACAGTCACAAGCTGGTGTGATTTTAAACATAAGCGCTTGGCTGTGACCAGCAATGCCTTCAGCTGAGAGGGAAATCCATCCTTTTCCCCCGGTCCCCCTGCCGGAGGCTGCTGATCGCAGGGCGGCTCTCGCTCCCGGCAGCGATGCTCCTGCCTGCCCACGGCAGCCCAGCTCCCTCCTGCCTCACCCCCTGAAAGCAGCAGAGCTCTAATGACCTCCCATGCACTTACATCTAACAGATACGTTTTTGAAAACAGAATCGGACCTCACACATCTACGACCACTTTAAAAGGCTTCTCACTGCACCTTCTGCTCTCTGTTCTCTACACTCAAGTGGAAGAATGGTACAAAGCCCCCTCTCTCACTGCCCTTTTCACCCAATTCCTCCCAACAGCAAGAAAATCTTAGAAGAGCCAAAGGAAAGCTAAAGAAACAACTCTGAGTCCTGTCTGCCCAGGGAACAGTTTCCACATCTAGCTTTTGCTGCTGCTAGAGGGCTGGGTGCAGTTTTACTATCACTTCTCTCCCTCTGTGACCTCTGCTTTCCATGGATCCATGTGGATTTTGCTGGTTGACTCAGGCCAGTCAATGGGAGAATCCTTCCATTACCAATTTCCAAAGACTGTCCTTCTTTCTATCTGATACTCATCAATTCATGAAAAGGGGAAAAAAAATTTTAAAAACCTCATGGAATCAGTCTTGGTTCACTTCTTCTTTCTTTGTTACTCCACCCATCAGTTGTATAGACTGTCTTTTATTGAACAGCGTTGGCTGAGTCATGTAAGGACAAATTTGCAGGGATGCATTGGACACATCATGTGTCACAAAAGGTGCATGGTCAGAGGCTGAAGACAAACACGTGCATCGCTGACAGCTTACTGGGGTTGTCCACAGTTGCACTGGTTAATGTGTATAGTCAAAATTGGGCAAGAGCATAAAGGCTCTTCACACTAAAATAAACAAAAGCTCATGGTAATGAGCCATAATATCCCACCTTAGCTGGTACACCTTTGTACCATCTCTGGAACTGAGAGCTGTGATGATGTCCTACACCTCTGGACACAGAGAACAAAGCCAAAAGGGCTGCTCTGTTCTTAGATAAGTCAGTAATAAAGAGGGAGATTACTTGGGAGGTTTTAATCATTGATTCAGAAAAGCTTGGATATAAATCAAATTTATGAATTATGCCCCATGAACATTGCTGGGGCAGTGCTCATGTTGAGACATTTTACACCATATCAGGCATTACCTGTCTGTGCCTTTTGCTTGGTGCCATACCAGTTGTGCAAAGCCAGCAAAGCATCTGCTGGGTGTTCTGTGGAATCCAGTGGGACCACAACCATGAGGCCATGCCCAGTCTGGGAGTGCCCAATGACACCTGAGTTACTGTCCATTACTTACTCTAATTGTGACTTCTTCAAATAAATAATTCAATAAGTTATTTTGTGAAAGTAGACCAAAAAGACAGCTACTATCCATTTACACACCACTAGAGGAGCACAGCACACCTCTATCCATGATCTCCTTTGCTTTGTTACAATCCCCTCCTTCCCAGCAGCCATGTTCAGGGCTCTCTCAGTCCAGCACCACCTGAAGCCAAATGGGTTCTTGGAAATGGTTTCCCTTCCCCAGATGAAGACCTGATGTACTGGTTGCTTCTTACAAACCTCATCTCTTCCATTATTGCTCTCACTTTCACCTGCCCATTGCTCCTTTTTAGTCATCTCTTCCCTAATACCTCTTTGGTGACTGGAAGAGAGCAGAAGCAGAGGAGATGATTCATACAAATTAAATCAGGGGTTGAACTTAGTTCAGTTCTGCATTTCTTTCTGAAACAGAAAAGGGGAAACTGCCAGCAGAGCCTCCTCAACCAGTCTATTCTCTCACTGCCACCCCAATACTACTTCTATTTTCTGCAAGCCATGAGAATCACTGTAAAGGAGGTGGTGATTTTTCTGTCATTCTGAGCCCAAAGAAAGTCTCTGGCTTGGCTGCATGTAAGGTGGCAAATTTAATTCTCTTCTCTTAACTGCTTCTTCACTAAATCTATGTTGCCTTCTAATCTCCTGCATCCCTGTAGAAAAGTCACGACTGAAGACTCAAGTTGTCAAAACATCACTTGTCTTTTCCACCAACGCTGGTGGAAGCATGGCTGTGCTGAGCCAGAGCGGAGTTGAGCGAGCTTTGAGAAAGTCCCTGTTTCCAATTTAGCACAGCTCCCAGGAGGTATTACATTTCCTGGTGCAGAGCAGAAAACGCTTTGAGATCCTCTAGCACAAAGCCTTGTTGTTTTATTCATTTGTACTGCTGAGCAAATTCTCTTTTTGAGGCTTCCAGTGGGGAAATTTCCTCCAGTTTCTCCATAGTAGAGTCCAGATTAAAGCTACCTTTACCCTTTTAAGGTCTAGAAAGCGTGATTTCTTCAAAGACAGCCTTTATTTCCTGTACTCCTAGAAGACCTTTTTAATTTCAAGAAATACTCTCATCCTAATTACAAAAGCATTTGAGCTCATCCTCTATTCAGTTGTTTTGGCAGAGCCCCTGGAAGAGTTCTCCAACCTGAAACTTCCAAGGAATCTGTTAGGAAACCCATCACAGCTTCCAGATAACAGGCTGCCAGCTTTATTAAAAGAGCAATGCTCGAGCAGGCTCGCACTCGCATTGCAGTCATTCTTGGCACTCCTGCAGCCTCCTCCATCCAAGAATTCTGCACCGCTCATTCCACTGGCTGCCTCTTCCTACCATCCCCACAACGAATGTGCCAAGCACCTCCCAGGATCACCTGGAGCACATGATTTTTGCAGCACCTCACGAAGTGGTTTTCACCAAGACTCTGCTGTCCTGCCGCTCTCGCCAGGGGGCTGAGTGGAGCAGCAGCAGCAGTCCTGGAGGGCTTTGCACAGCAGCGGGTGCAGGGTGGCTTCCACCATCCCTGGACAGCCTCTCTGATGTCCCACATGTTTAACACAACTCTGTCCCCAAGCACTGGGCTACAGTTAACCAACCAGATCCCAAGGTTTTTCTTGAATTTTACCCAGATTACAACCAGGGCAAGTTTGCTGCTGCTTCAAAACAATGTTTCTCTGATTACAACCTAGGCTGACAATTATAGTGATTTAAACCCTAACTAATTGTGAAGTACTTTGATCATGCTTAGCACAACTTGTGGTTTGTAGGCTGCAAATAGTTGAAAGGAACTCTTGGGTTCACAATTTCCTTGAATATAAATTATATTTTGATATATAAGGTATGATTTAAATATTAAAATAAAGGTGTTTTTTCCCTTATCCCATTTCTTCTTTGAATATTATTGCTGGTATAATTTTCTCTCCCTGATCTTAATATTTACCATAAAAATTGTCTTAGTTTAAACCTACTTTTCTTGTTAATTTGTTTTATTAAGATTAATTTCATAAAGGTGTTGTGGTTTTGTTTTGGGGTTTTTGTTTTGTTGGTTTGGGGCTT